TGTTTCGGAGAAGAATTATCTTCATTAGAAGAGGAAGTTAAGAAAACGTGCATTGATTATGAACCAACCTAATATTTCTAACGTGAGAACGTAACTCGGCCACTTGGAGATTTTAGGCCTGAAATCTCCTTACATTAAGAAACTTATTAAAATTTGATATGCTTTGAAAAGCGCAAAAAAGCGCTTCTAATGATACTAACAATACCGTAGTAGAGATTATATTCTTTTAGAACAGCTGCTTCAAACATAAGGCAAAAAAAAATCGGACAGAACTTATGCAACACCTAATACAGGGTGTCCCAAAAGTATGTATACACTGTTTGACCGTTGATATCTCTCCCCAAGAAGTCTTTTGCCTACCTTCAAGTACCATTTTGCAGAGCTGGCTTCAACTTAGATTCACAGTATGGAGCGAATCATGGATCGCTTCTCACTACTGTAAGATTACGGTGGGAACATTCAGCTTACATTCAGCTTAGCTTACAGATTTACCGTGTTTCAAAAAAGTTTCCCAAAAAATCTGAAAATTATGTCAAAAGTCCTCCTTTCTTGTAACCTGGGCATTCTAGTATAACTTCACTTAATCTTCTGTGCCGTACAGGTTTTTAACGATGACACACTTTATTGCCTGACGTTTCGGTTACACACCGTCTTCAGAGGCCTGGAAAGGTGTCAGTCACATTGATATCACACTACTTACTGCCAAGCCCTTCTCCCATCTGCGCACTCGATTCGTCTAAGATGAAGATCGAGAGGCTGGGCGTAGAAATCTACCCACCGAGTGTGTCACCAGTAGCAGTGTTATCTGCTTCAGAACTTGCTCGATGGACTACAGTGACGAAATGAGCAGTCGGAACACTCTGAGGCTGCTTAAGTATAGATCAGCTATCTATATAGATCTATACTTAAGCAGCCTCAGAGTGTTCCGACTGCTCATTTCGTCACTGCAGTCCATCGAGCAAGTTCTGAAGCAGATAACACTGCTACTGGTGACACACTCGGTGGGTAGATTTCTACGCCCAGCCTCTCGATCTTCATCTTAGACGAATCGAGTGCGCAGATGGGAGAAGGGCTTGGCAGTAAGTAGTGTGATATCAATGTGACTGACACCTTTCCAGGCCTCTGAAGACGGTGTGTAACCGAAACGTCAGGCAATAAAGTGTGTCATCGTTAAAAACCTGTACGGCACAGAAGATTAAGTGAAATCTAAAAATTGTATGCTAGAGTTAAGTCGGATTTTATTATTCAACTTTTTACGAGCTTTCAAAGCTTTTAGAGCGGTATAATCACGATTTTATGGAGTCTTGTAAAAACAGCTATTGCGGTTTACCTGGTATAACTTATGAAAGAAGCATTGCCGGTGCAAACATCACATTCAATTTTAGCGGCTTGAGTTTACACAGTATAGTAGTTTTCTGGGTTATTCACTATGCTTTCTGAGGCGAAATAAGACCCTTGATGGCTCAAAACCCTTCTTGAATTTTCCACCATAATCCCACAGCCATGAAGAGCAACTGGTGATTCGCTCCGTACTGTGAATCAAGGTTAAAGCCAGCTCTACAAAATGGTGTTTAGAGATAGGCAAAAGACTTTTGGGAAAAGAGGTATCAACAATCAAACAGTGTATACATACTTTTGGGACACTCTGTATAACGCAGTTATCTTCGGTACATTTGTGTATGAGTATCTGGTGATAATGAGTAGTAAAACCATCTGAAGGTAAGTTTTGCCTCGAGGGTATGAATACGGCTTCTCAAGGCAACAGAAAATGTGTGTCAACGTCAGTGTCATTGTCAATGTCAACCTCTGCACATACAACATTCCGTTGGCAGTGCCATCGACAAAGACTGTTCTTCATTTCGTCATATCACCACAAAACTGGGAGCCGATAGCATATCATATCAGTATTCCCAGTCCAACAGCATCCGCACCGGGCCCGCAGGAGCCGTTGCAACTTGACTCCTGATTAAGTAACGTCATAATCAAACCTTATATCTCAGACTACGGTCGTTGTAGCCGTGATATGACCGCAGAGGGTGTGAAAATGCAGCGGAGGCTGCTGCTGCAGCCGCGCGAAAAGGAGCGCATCTTCGTTTTACAACTCATCTGTGTCGTGCAATCGCTGCAGTCGTTGCCGCGGATTTGACCAGTTTGAACATATTTAGACAACACTTAAAACCAGGTTCCATTCTCCGTCAAGCTTCAGGTAGCTGAAAGCAAAAGTCTGTAGGTCCTTGATCTAGGAAACCATGGATGCCTAATTCTGTACTAGCTATATTTACAGGTTCCGCAGCAACATTTTCCTCCCTTTCAGGATACCAGTTAATGCTCAATCCGAAAAACAATCTATGTGTTACAAGAAATAAGAGCTGATTGCTAAACCACATTTAAACGGTCCCGTATGTCACCATTTTCCGTCAGCCGATCTGCATGTCGTTTTGTTGACTGTGACAAGTACTTAGAAGAAAGTTGACCATTCACGAGCGCTGGTTGACGAAAAGTGGATCTAGCTTATGAGTATATTTACCGAAAAGAATGCGCTTACGATGCAGTGTTATCAGGGCTCGGCATGAGCTGGCACCAGGAAGAATCTCGAAGTCCCCTTTGCTTCCAAAAAATTAGTAAGAAGTACCATTTGACCCTTTTTTGCCCCCAAATTTCTCTGCACTTGGCTTTTTGTCCTTTATTCTGGGTGAGATTGTGGCCCAACCCGGAATAAAGGAAAAGGCGAAAACAAAAAAATCGAAAAACCTATGGCTCCTTTCTTTCACCCTCCATTCCCCTTCCCTCTCTCCCTACCCTTCCACCTCGCCCTCCCCAACATCCTCTGCAGATGAGACAAACAAAGAAGTAGAAAATGACAAAAAAGACAGAAAAACAAAGGTATCAAAGGTAAACGACAAAGAACCCCCAGCGAAGATGAAGGATGAACGCGTCAGTCACAGGTGCGCACTTTGCGATTAGAGCAAGCTTCAATGAATATCTTTTAAATGTTGTAAAAAAGAGCCTGGAGAAGATATTATGAAACCGTTTTTCCTCTGTATGAGAATATTTACAATGAAGATACAATTTATGTAAAAAAGTGTGAAAACTTATGTGAGCAAAGGGTCAGTGCCAGCTCAGCTGGCACCCAGCTGCACGGTGCCAGCTAATTCAGAAAAAAGTTCAGCACAGCTTTCATTCACATAACTTTTCATAAATTTTCGGGCCATAGTTCGGGTCCCTCAACGCGCATGCATACACCAAATTTGGTTTCATATGATTGCGTTTTGTTTATAAACAAGGCTTTGTTTGTCTAGGGCAGGATAAACCAGCAAAAATGATATACCCTCTCCTTTCCGCCCAGAAACGATATCTAGCTTGATCCGGTGCCAGCTGTGCCGAGCCTTGAGTGCTATACAATGATATACTAATTTTGCCTCTTTCTAACATGCCACTTTTAAAATTAAGTAGTTTACAACCAGTACTGTCTAATTTTGATTTGACTCTAACAACTCTTAACTTCAACTCAAGGCGCTTTGCAATAAGTTCCGAAATCAAAGGGAGTCATCGCAAGAATCTCTCAATCCTTCAAATTACTTTTGAATTCTCCTCTTTTAGAATGGCACCAGTAAAGTAAAGCTGGTGAAGGTAATGAGGAAGGTAAAAAAGAAGATGACTCGAAGACTGATGGGATACAAGCTCTAATACAAAACAAGTGTCTTTTGTGCAACAGAATTAAAACTGAAAAAATAAACAGAGAAACGTTTTCGTACACATGTACTAGGCTGGCTGGCCTCAAACACATGATCACCTTTGAAAGATGAATAAGGTTTTGGTCGACCGTTAACATTTCCCTTTCTCCTTTAGAATCACTGTTGACGTAGCTAAATAAACAGATATGTCACCAAAAGGCCGTTCAGTGAACATGGAGGGCATATCGGAGAAACAACTCAGCAGGTACATAGCGATCTAAGCCGCTTGAGCTCGTAATGGAAACCATCGATTAATAAATAGGGACAAATTGACCTAAGCATGACTTTCTGACAATGAGATGACACTCGAACTTTCTCTGTCTGTTGCCCACTATGAATGAGGAGAACTAACCTGTTTCGGGGAGCTAGAAAACGTGAGAAAAAAGGAGCATATGAGCCGATCACAACGTGAGAAAGTTTTGTAAGATATTTTGACACATTGACGACCGCTTGACACACATGGTGTGTCAAGGCTTGACACACCATGTGTGTCGTTGAAATGGCTACTATATTGTGTTAAACCCGCTCCGAAAGTTTTCTTTTGTGCTGATCTAGACACAACCTCTGCTGTTTTTGCCGCATTCCAGCGTTACTGTAGATGTACTGTAGATGGAACTGTGCGTGATTTTATCCAAAAAATGTTGAGTGGTCCGTGAAACGCCTTAGTCGTCAATGTGTTAAGGATACAAATTATCGTGGATATCGCAAGCTTAGCCATCACCAGCAAGAAGAGTGATGATTAGAGGCTGCGCTGTGTGCTGCGCGTCTGCGACTTCTTGAAATAACAAAGCAGCAAGTTTTCAAAGATTACAAATTCCAATTACTTCCTTGTCACTCTTGATGCGATATGTGGTAATTGAGCGAATAATCAAAACATGGCACCACTTTATTAGTTCTCATGCATACATTAGCCATGTTCCAATGGAAAGAGTTTCGTTTGTCTTATAAATTAAGCAGACTTAATTATTTGTTTGCTTCGACAGAATCTCATAAATTCTTGTCAAGAGCTTGTCGGACACACGTGTCTGTTTCTTACGACCAACTTTCAGTCCATTAGTCAGATAACAGATAACAATGTCTTTAAATGGATCCATCCAGATCATTTGACCACCCATCGCTGGATGTCCAATTAGCCACGAACCCTTCATAGCAGAGAGATTATGAGAGTTGACAAAAATGTCACTCTTGCCTACATTTGGACTTCTTTTGTATACAAAGCCGTGCCCTTTGCTTTCTTCAATGCCAAGAGTATGGTCGAAGGTATCCTCATATTGTGGTTGAGCCAAGTTCTATAAGCGCATTCAAATTATCCTTATTATCGATTGTCATGATGCTTGCCTTGAAAAACTGCTGTGAGCACAAAGTTCCATCCATGAATTTTTGATGGAGAAGAGCAAGACCACGTGCCGTTGCAACTCCATTCAGAGCAGGTTGTTCAAAAGATCGCATTGCTGGCGTGTTAAACAGCTCAATATTCTAGAAAACGCTTTTTAAGACAATGGTTAGGATTGTAAATCTCTAATGTTTTTTTTGAAGATGAGGAAATGGACTGTTGCGACTATACACTAAACGCGGTTTAATTTTTTTTTCAATTTTTCGTTGTTTTTGAAAAAATTACGCTTTTCTTTTCCACCAGTACATACCTCAGAGAGTGGCTGTAACCTCATTCGCTGTAATGTTGCTGCGTCCTTGCTGTGTAGAAGATTACCCATTGAGAATATTTTCCTGTCGTCAACGTACTCTCTAAAATTGATTACGTACCACAAAACACGTTTACTGCTGAAACACACCGAAATGCAGAAGTTTTTCTAAGTGGTGAAACTTTAGCAATCCGACCTTCTTGATCAGTGCATGATCCGATATAGATATCTATACCTAAAGACGATCCATTTTATTATTGTAACACCTTTTTGGGGTTCCTTGCCGTGCATTTCGCTTTACCACTTACAAATGTTGACTGCTTGCGCTGCAAATTGTTTCAACAAGAGAAGCAAGGTATTCATAATTGTGAAAGCGAGTTAACTGCGTTTTTGCACTAGAAGCTGGAATTATTCGATAACAGCGCTTAGCATAATTGGATTTTTGGCAACCAGTCTCAAAAGACTTTGCTGAAAAGTGGAAGATGAAGGAGATTGTTTGCCGTTACGCATGCTTCGCAACTGTGTTTGTCGTGATTTGTGGCTGCCACATTAGTAGGAGAAGAATCAGTTAATGTGAAATATTTCCAGCGTAGCCGCTCAGTTGAGTAGAAAACACTGTTTGAGTGATTTTCGCTCGTAGAATTATATAACATCGGCTCTTGCGGTGTAGTTGGTAGAAAAGTTTCAGAACGGACAAAGTTGAAATATGCAATGCGCAAATAAAAAGAAAGAAAGTGCTCCACAGAGTTTAGACGTACCATACTTCTGTCGAATTTCATCTCGAAAGTACTCCCCTATACTTCGATGCTTAGCATCTATACGACAGAATACCTGAAGTTTCATCCAAAAATTTTCAGCAAGAATTTTTGCCATTGCTGTACTACCTGGTCTATTAACCATCCAAATGTTATTGGATGATAAGCAATCTGTGAATCTGGAGGATGTTTTGGAGACTCTTCTTCTAAGACCTTGGAAATTTTCGTTTTGTCTGCAGCCTCGTCAAGGGTGAGATCTTCTTCAAGATAGGGTATACCAGCCTATTAAGCAAGCTTGAAAGCCTTTTTATAATAAGTTATAAAGTTATAATAAGTTAGGTTACAATAGGTTAAGTCGAGCTACCCGATGGTTGAGGATCATGTCAATGGTTTGAGGATCATGTCAATGGTTATATCTTCCTTGCCATTTTTTCCAAATTCAGGCCAGAAACGTGTGACTTTATCAGAATAGAAACATTCTCCTGCATGTACTTTCATAGCAACACAAATAGCAGCCACACTCTGAAATAAGTCTTTTTTAAGCTGTGCTTTCCACGTGTGGTTCGTAGCTGCAAAACATGCAAAGGGAGTAACACACGAGCTAGTCCTGCCTTTTGCTTCGTGGAGAATCATATGAGAACAATTTCTACCACAGTGAAGAAGTTGAAGTTTTTTGTTTTCATTGATCTCCTAATGCCCGGTGGAAAGTAACACATCGAGTTGACCACATTATAGTCAACGGAAGGTATTTGACTAATGTTGCTGTCATTCCAAAGTTTTTCACGGATCAGCCCACCGCCACTCTATGCCAAGTTCGGGTGAGCGGTTGTTCAATGTTGACTTTCGCGCCAAGAAAATAGTAACGCTCTAAACAACTTCATCAAAGGACTTTGTAAGCATTTCTAAGTATCGCGTCAGCAGTCCTCTTCGTTCGTTGACGTTCAGAGCATCCAGTCCGTCAAAGCCCTCATCCACCGATTGTCGTCAAAAGTCGTTATCTGGCCGGCGCATCTTAGCATGTTCTATTGATGCGGGCTCCCCCCCCCCCCCCCGATATCACGAATTAACTAAGGGATCGGTCAGAGTTTGCCAGTGTTGCCTGTGTTGAAAGTGTTGCCGACGTTGAAAGTGTTGCCGATGTTGAAAGTGTTGAAAGTGTTGCCGGTGTGAAAGTGTTGAAAGCGTTGGATGTGGAAATCATAAGCCTTGCAGTTTCATTCCTTCTCGAACGATCTCACCGGCTGGTGAGTACGTCTGGAATGGAAATGGGAAATGAGACTGAAATGAAATAGGAAATGTTTTCGCAAAAAGTTGCTCTCACGAATTTTTTGGAAAGTGAACGACTTGTTTGAAAGAGGCAACCTCCAACATTTGGTAACGCTGCAAGATCTCCCATGTTTCTTTTGCTCACGCAGAAGCGCTGGATTCGAGACTGACACGCATTCTCATCAGATTTTAGCAGCCTTCTCAAGTGTTGGAGATTGCGTATTCAAAACAACCCCCCTAATTTCCATAAATTTTGTATTAGAATCTTTTGCATGCGAAAGCACTTTCCATTTTATTTACTTTCATTTCTTAATTCCCATTTCCATTTCAAAGTACTCACCCCGATGAGATCGCTCGAGAAGGAATGAAACTGCAAGACTTATGATTTCACATTTAACGCTTTCAACACCAGCAACGCGTTCAACACTTTCAACACCGCAACACTTTCAACACTTTCAACACTGGCAACACTTTCAACACACTCAACACCGGCAACACTTTCAACACTTTCAACACAGGCAACACTGGCAAACTCTGACCGATCCCTTACATTGTTCCCAAAAAGACAGAACAAGCAATCAGCTCGTCCCACTGCTCTGTATATTCGCTTAGATCCGTAGGTAACCGCTCTTTTGTAGTAGTTGAAAGCAAAGTGCGATAAACATCTCCGTTCCTTTTCAGCAAATCTTGGTTTCCTTACCTTAGTGCAGCAAAAGATGTTAGCCATTGTGTTTTGTGTCCACTCTCGTTCATTCATGCGATCAGCCCAGCCACCCCAAAGATCCACTACCAGCCTTCCTTTGTGGTACATTGCTAACGCAGCACCGTCGCGTTCATGTTTGTACATGAAATTCTTCCTGCAAGGACAACCACATAAACAGCACTAATAAGCGTTAGTCGTGTCCTTCTTACCTAAACAAATCTGCGAGTTCCTCAAATCCATCCGTAGCAACACCTTCAACATGGTCATCGATCTGTAACAAATATGACAAACGCGACTATTGAGACTTACTCAAAGCCCCCAAAATTAATTCTAGTAGCCTGCCTTTAGTGAAGTTTATACATCTGTGCGCGAGAAGGCGCAATAACAGCGGCAAACTGTGCTTCATCGCAAATCTCACAGCAAACTCTAATTTTCAGCTTTTTGGAAGTCTTCAGTGTGCCCCATCTAGCATAACTTATAATAACGGACTAAGGGTTGTTTACGTTTGTGTGTGTGTGTGTGTGTGTGTGTGTGTGTGTGTGTGTGTGTGTGTGTGTGTGTGTGTGTGTGTGTGTGTGTGTGTGTGTGTGTGTGTGTGTGTGTGTGTGTGTGTGTGTGTGTGTGTGTGTGTGTGTGTGTGTGTGTGTGTGTGTGTGTGTGTGTGTGTGTGTGTGTGTGTGTGTGTGTGTGTGTGTGTGTGTGTGTGTGTGTGTGTGTGTGTGTGTGTGTGTGTGTGTGTGTGTGTGTGTGTGTGTGTGTGTGTGTGTGTGTGTGTGTGTGTGTGTGTGTGTGTGTGTGTGTGTGTGTGTGTGTGTGTGTGTGTGTGTGTGTGTGTGTGTGTGTGTGTGTGTGTGTGTGTGTGTGTGTGTGTGTGTGTGTGTGTGTGTGTGTGTGTGTGTGTGTGTGTGTGTGTGTGTGTGTGTGTGTGTGTGTGTGTGTGTGTGTGTGTGTGTGTGTGTGTGTGTGTGTGTGTGTGTGTGTGTGTGTGTGTGTGTGTGTGTGTGTGTGTGTGTGTGTGTGTGTGTGTGTGTGTGTGTGTGTGTGTGTGTGTGTGTGTGTGTGTGTGTGTGTGAATCTCTGTCTGTCACGAAATTCGTAGAGCGTGTTCCAGCCAACGTCCTGAGCCCAAATTTTGCACAGCGCACGCTACCAGCATGAAACCTCACTATACAAAAGCATGAGCGGATCCGTTGAGTGGATCCATTGGAAATTGCGCGTCAAACGGATCCACTTGGCTTCTGGCCAGCAAATTTGGGTCCGTAGTACTACTTTTTGCAGAGTTAAGGATATATTTGACAAGCTAATGTGCAAGCCATGGACGCTAGCCTAAAAAAGTAATGAAATGTCTACTACTTTACGAAAACAGCGCCAAAAAGCATTCGCTGTGTAAACGGTCAAATTTTCAAGATTTTACCTGATTATTTGAGAAGAATTTTGCACAGGTGTAGCCCACTATGTCTATTGTCCTTACGGCGACTACCAAGCCATAAAAATTCCAAAAGCCCATTCGATTTTGCATCTGTTCTTCTAGGAAAGATTTTATCCACGCGAAAATACCGATCTCACATGGAAGACCTCTACGAATGCGTAGTTGTTTACGAATTATTCGTGGTAGCCTACATAGCGCGGTGAGTTTCAATCTATATATACATAAAACTCAAAAATTGTCAGTTTGGAGGGTATGTGCGTTATAGACACGCGCGCCACTCAACCGATTCAGCTGAAACTTTGCACACATATGTTTTCGACCCTTGCGCAGATGATAGGCTACTTTTTGCGGCGATTCGTTGGGTCCTTCTATCGACTTATTGATTTGTTTACATTTTCCTAAGGAATTGAAGGGTTATCATGTTCAATCAAGCATTTTCCATACTCATGTAAAAAAGGGCGGTGAAGCTCATTTTCACCTCAGGATCACGAGGATGCGGTTTCCAAGCGGATGTCCCAGGGTAAGTCATCCTACCATATAGGGCGGGGGGGGGGGGGGCGGCTCGCAGTGCGGTGAACCATGGCCCGGGCTGGACCGGGAAAGCCAACTAGTGTCATTATTATGCGGGAATGAGTAAGGCATACAGAGCATAGGGCCAGTGCGAGCCTCTGCGAAGCAGAGGTGACGCACTGGTATGTATATAAAGGCTGAGTGTTGGTAACTTGTTAGTTAGTGTTCTTTATAGAAACTTTTGTGTTTAAGACAATCAGCGCGAAACTTCGCATATATACAGGGTGTCCCAAAAAATGTGCCTACTGTTTGATTGTAAATAACTCTGCTGTAATAAAGTGTTTCGAGAAGCTTTAGGTACCGTTCTGTAGAGCGAGGTTAAACTTAGATTTACAGCATGGAGCGAATCACCGATCGCTCTTCATTGCTGTAGGATTACGGTACGAACTTCCAGCATATGGAACCAATGTGAAATATACCACCTAATAAAATTTGTCTCAAAAAATCTGAATAATCGTGTACTAGGGTTTTCGCGCATGCTAATTCCACCTCACAACTTTTTACGAGCGTTTCCAGCTTTTTTGACAATGTAATCACGTTTTACAAGTATTGGGAATTTAATTATTAGGGTTTACCCGGGATAACTTTGGAAAGAAGCATCACAGTAAAGTGAAAATTTCAGATTCAAAATCAGCGGCTCTCGTTACTGTAGTATATGAGTTTTTAGCTTGTTTGGTTTTGTTCCGAGGCATAATATAGCCTCCAATGGCCCAAAATCCTTGTCGAAGTTCGTACCGTAATCCTACAGTAATGAAGGGCGATAGATGGTTTGCTCCATACAGTAAATCTATGTTTAACCTCGCTCTACAGAACGGTGCCTAAAGCTTCTCGAAACACTTCATTATAAGAGAATTATTTACAATCAAACAGTAGGCACATTTTTTTTGGGACACCCTGTATATATTTTCGACGTCGGCCCATCCCGTAGGCTACTTTTCGCGGCGAAATCCCCGCTCCTTCTACTAATTATCGATTTTGTAGAAAAATGAACTTTTAGGGATCGGTCAGAGTTTGACGGTGTTGCCGATGTTGAAAGTGTTTGAAAGTGTTGCCGGTGTTGGAAGCTTTGAATGTAGACACTGCAGTTTCATTCTTCCTCGAGAGATCTTACTGGCTGGTGACATCGTTTGAAATGTATATGGAAAATGAGTAATGAAATGCAAATGAAATGGGAAATGCATTCACATGCAAAAGACCCTCATACAAAGTTTTTGGAAGTAGAAGAGTTGGTTATATAGATAGGCAATCCCCAATATTTGAAAACGCTGCAAGACCTCCCATGTGTAGGTCTTGTATTCAGTAATAGTAGAAATGCCGGATGCGACAGCTAACACGCATTACTCGGACTTTAGCAGCGTTCTCAAAATTCGAAGATTGTCTATCCAAAGCAAGTGCTCTACTTTCCAAAAACTTTGTATGAGGTTATTTTGCATGTAAAAGCATTTCCCATTTCAATCGCATTTCATTACTCATGTTCCATGTATATTTCAAACGATCTCACCAGCCGGCAAGATCGCTCGAGGAAGAATGAAACTGCAAGACTGATGTATGCATTCAACACTTTCAACATCGGCAACACTGGCAAACTCTGACCGATCCCTTATCAATACTATCAAACCACATTCAACTTCGTGTAAATAGTAGCGATAGAATTCATTTCTATTGAGTGAGATGCGGTAATTCAAGGCGATGCGATTAGGATGTCTACCCTGTGTTGCACGAGAAGTAGAAGAAAGCCAAAATGCAGTGAGATGAGTTTCAAAAGTTCTGCGCCACTCTTGCTCTTTGAGCCAATTAAGTCCTCAATGCGGGCGAAGCCGGGCATGTCAGTTAGTACTCGTACGTACTTTCAAAGATTTACCATGGGCAAATCTGAGTTAAATAGGTTATGAAGCACACTTTGTACACAAAATTCGCTTTTACACCAGCAGTATATGTTGCAAATAGCAATGGACGCCGAAAAACCTCTTGTTCTACTTTCGCTGATTCCTGACCAACTATTTAAAGACTCTTCAGTAATTTAAACACTTCGAAACTTTGTGTGAACAGCAGCATAATTCCGAGTTCAAGTACAAGACAAAAAAGAGCAAGAACAGCATGTTTGCGGCGTCATATCCATAGTCCCATGGTATGCTTTCAAAGAGTGTCGTGGCTTAGTTTGTCTGTCTCTCCCGCTAAAGCTTGAAGGATACGCGAGAATCGAATTTAAGTGATATAACTCGATGAAGAGCTCATTCGAAGCGGACGAACAAGCTATCGTCGATTCGTCGACCTCACGGAGTGCTCAAACGCTGCGGACCGCGGACTACGCGGCTGAATTGTCGGGAGAGCACGAGTTTTACATCGGCGGAATCTATACTGGAGCAAGCGTTTTACCTCGCGGCGCTGCTCCGCAGTGACGTCCGGTTCGTGCGGTCAACGAATCAACTATACTTGCTTATTGCTACGTGACAGAAGTTCTGTAAAGACAAGCTCTCTTAGAATGCATTAACCGATTACTACAAGTTTGGTTATTTTGTACAAGTGGTGTAGACAGAAAGTTCCCGCATTTTATTCGCTCGAACATGCCTTGTTCAAAAAATTCTAGGCCCATGAACTGGAAGCTGTTTCCGATAGCTTTGTAATTGGGCTGTAGCAGCAATATGTCAAACTATTGCAAACATTTTGAGAGCTTAAACGTTCTTCCTTGCTGCAGATTGAGCATTAAAAGACAGAGTTGTTTTTCTTAGGGTATGACAGACCTTTCTTTCCGTCTCCGATTTGCGAGCCTGCAAAATTTTCACTGAACATTGCATAATACAATTTTGGTAAAACTTGCAGTCTTCAGGTTTTCCGGTATTGGCGTCTCAGTTGAGCCCGAATCTTCCGATGAAGCTGCCATACTCGTTGTAGTACCTTCCTTCTGCGGAACCAAAGTATGAATGACTCGTTCTCCCTTTGTGCTCATCTTTATGTAATCTGCCCATAAACAAGGTGCGTGATAGGGCATCGAAAGAAATCAAACATTTGTACTTGTTCCCGTTAAAGTGCGGTTCATGGATACGAACACTTTCAAAGATTGGGATTGGAAGAAATAGGAGAAACTGTTGGTGCTCTATGAAGAACTTCAAAGTCGGTACATGCAGCAAAGAAGAAAGTGCAATTTTAGGCATGAATTTTGCGCCGAGCACGAATTTTGAGCGGTCCATATTATACAAACACCTCAAACGAAGCTCCTTCTTTCACTCATAGCTGCGAATCATATGTGGAATTATCTTAATTATAGAAACTAAGAGATTCCCCACCTGCTGTCAAGCAGAAAAGCGGCACCTCTTTTGAATAGCTCAAAATGTTCCGAATTTAGAGCGCACCAAATGTATGTTTCTTTGGTTCATGGACTCTAAGCAGCCTGTAACAATGAGACAATAACCTTTTCTGATGAATGGTTTTGACGCCCGGGAAAACCGTGCGTGCTTCTTGCGCTTTTCATCCGAATCTCAGTCTTGTTTGAGTCAGCACACTTCTAGGTCTCAAATCTCCGCTTCTGTCTCCCGCAAAACTTTGCGATAGGGCAGATACATTGCTTGTATGATGTTCTGTCACTACTCGAGTTTTTGGGTTTTTGCAGAACTAATTTTTATGCTTCGGAGGGAAAAACACGTCATTTTTAAATAACGCTCGCGTGGCTGCAAATGCCCAACGTTCTCTAACTATTAGGTTGTTGCAAAAATAATGTCCGTTTTTCTAGGCGTATATTTCAAACAACTTTTTTTCCATCAAACTTCCTTTTTCGATATAGAACCTGCATATCATTGATAAGCCCTCTCCATGTATTTTCTAACGATGGTGGAAATAGGCTGCTATCCGTCATCTATTCTGTGAGAATTTCATCAGCATCTCGCATAAGTGCACTCAAAATTGAAATTTCGATGCTTGAGTTTCCGTGGCCACAATTCAGGCGCAAATGAACGAATTCTTCTGAAAACATAGCATCTCTATTGGATGAAGATTGTTCGCCTACAGCGTGCTTATATGGATTTTTGGAGATATCTGGACTGAGAAATAGACATCTCGAAAGAGATACTTACTGCTGGCATTCTATGGATCAGAAATTTCTCATAACTAAGGCAATCGCCAAAGCTTCGCTCATTTCTGTAAACTTGAGATTAGCACACCTCAACTACAATATTTGAAGAGAAACTCAGCTATTCACTGCGCGAAGAATTCTAAATTTTTCCAATTTGACACTTATAAGCCTACAACAAGTAGGCTTAGAAAAGTGAACTTTTTTGAATTTTTGTCTTTTGTTTTCGCAGAACTCTATCGTCGGAGTCTTCTCTATACCCTCATAAACTCTTGATCTGCTGCTACAAAATAAGCTGATTGCCAGCCATACGAACAATACTTGAAGGGAGTTGTAAGCTCTCAAAGAAGAGGTTTTTGAGAGAAAACCTTTTAACTTTTTGACGCTTGGTTTTTCCCAACTGCGATATCAGTATGAGCAGGCACACGCTAAATTAAGAAAGGTTTGCTGTTTCTGATGGTCTTGACTGCATTCCAAAATGTGAAGACTGAACGAAGCTATAGCTGAAAATTTGCAAAACGGACTATTTTTGCAACAACCTAATAGCAACACAATCTTACGAAAGTGTACATACAATTTTTCACTTCTAGGACCTTGCGGACAGCACAAGCCAAGTTTGAGGTTCAAAAGTGTGCTAACTCTAAGGTCAAATTAAGACTTGATTGAAACCCAAGTTTTTGAAGTTCGCTCTCTTCAAAAGGACTTTGAAAAAGCTAAAAAAGCAAAGCTCCTTTTTCTAAGTGCATTAATCTCAGCGTGCAGCGGTTCCTTCAGACTGTGTTATTGTAAATCAAAAGAATTTTGATTGCGACTGCAGTATTGAATGGAAAAGGAATTCTGCTTAAGTTAAGGATTTCGTGTGATTATAAACTGGGCAAACTTCGTTTTCAGTGCAAAATTCATTTCCATCATTAACACCGATTTTCTTACTTGTACTGTAATCGCAAAAGGCTAGATCTACTTGCTCGGAGAAAAAAGAAACTTTTGATTACTTAGAAATAGAGCTTGTCAAAAAAGATCCTGCAAACTTGCAACTTTGTCGAGCATATACTACACATCAGACAATAGTAATGCACACTCGACCTATTTTCTTCGTAACTGGAGATTGGTATAATTATAGGCCAAAAGTTCGAAATTGTCGCCTTTCGCGGTTTTTTTAATGTTTTTAGCTCTATATTTTACGGCGATTAGCGTTTGAAGAGACTGAAATCACTATTATACTTCCAAAGGATATGTGGATTTACCAATGTCGAGACAATCCAGCATTGCTTTCGGTAAAACATGCAATTTTATTCTTTCAACTTCAACAAGGAAATAGTACAAAAAGTGTACATATGCATAATTGATGAGACAAGTAACTTCTGCGAGTAAGTTGGAAGACTGTAGGATTTTTTTTCACAGAAATCCAAAGCATCTGAAATTTTCTAGGTTTTCCCCCTAACTCTCCTATATCAAACTTTTCAAAATTGTTTGAACACCTTCTTGTAGGACTTGCTTTGCTCTATTGAATGTTACGTTCCATAGATCTTCATATCTTTTCTGTCGCCCCAGATAAGTAGCAAGCGTTATTTATGCATTAACCCAACAAAATCATGCACTGCAATTTTTAAGGCCACTCGATAATTATCCTGTTTCTTTTCACTCGTTTTAATTGCAGTATGTAACTTGGAGTACATATTCTCGCAAATGTGCCGAAGTGTGCATATATGTCGAAAAGGATTCATATGGAACTTCAAGACAGCCGAGAACTTTACTATCAGATTTGGTCACCAATGAAACCTGCGCCTTTTGACTCTTTTGTTTCATTAGAATGGTTTTCTTTAAGCTCTCTTGAATTATGTGCATCTCCCTCAAGAATATCGTCTAACTATAGTTTATCAATTCCAGCTTCTTTTGCTGTTTTCAGGCATGGATTTCCGATCATGGCTCGCCGGATGCTAGACTGAGGCGCCATGAGATCAACTCAGGTCCGTTCAGGGAAGATGTACTGATGGGGGATTTTCTACGGGCCTATATGTACTACGTATGAGGTATGTGATACGTAGTAGGTATATGTGTAACTACGTACGTATGTGACAGTTGTTCAATAATTTCAACTGCTCGTTACCACCTACACCTTTTATCCCTACTACAGGGTGGGGCAAAACTCTGGGAGCCTAATACTTTTTCAGATAAAATCAGAAGAAAAGTGTCTAGGAATGAAAGATTCGGTGTACACATGAATCGAACCTGTACAAGTACAGCGCTGCTTTCGAATTTTGAGATTGCCTCTTCTGGCTTCAAAGCAGCCCTTCGAAATCTTGGTAGCTCCGCCTGTCGCGGCACGCAGGCAGTCCTGATAAAATTCGTCCCACGCCTTTAAGATAACTTTTTCTTTCACCAGGCATGCGATGCGATAGAGCAAGCTTTTGGCTACAACGTACTGCGAAAAGATTTTTTTGGCAGTGTTTAGGGAAAAGTTTTGGAGTTTTTATTGAAAGCCAGTGTACTCGCATACTGGAAATATGGATGCGATTGCGCGAACGGGAGCGAAAAATCGTAATCTGAAAAGTATTGAAATTGCTTAATCGATCGGACTCAAGTACATACTTGCATAGAAGACTCATGGAAAGAATATAGCCTAGAATTCAGTGCCTGCTGTGCTCCTATAGCTTTCAAATTTATTTTTAAAGAAAAATGGCCACTGGCACGCAGGTTTTATTCGCAAATTTTACTTTGCGTTTTCGAAAGAAAGATATCTGACAAACGCAACGACTACGAACTGATAGCGCAAGGTCTTCTCTACATTGTGTGCATTGACGTGCCCTAGAATATCCACTGTATCTTTAGCTATGAAATAGGTTGTGAAGACCAAAAATTTCGATTTTTTCGCTTTGCAGAAGCATTTGTTTGATAAATCCAATTCCTACAAAAACATATCACAAGCATTTTCAGACATCCAAAGTGTGATTTGTAGAGGATGATCGTAGCAATAAGTGGCTCAAGTTTGGAGCCAAAATCATCAGTAGTTGCTTGATTGACAGCACTGCAAAGAAGGCTCCCAGACTTCTGCCCCACCCTGTACACCCTAGCTGGCAAACCCTACTTCGCCAGCCCTGTCAATAACATTTTCGTGACCAACATGCTCACTCACCCCCTCCCCTGTGCCAACTTCCAGGCCCGCGTCAATCTTTCCAAAAAAGCGACAAAATCAACATTGATCAATGAAGAAAGGTAGCCTATGACAAGCGTTCCGCCCGAAGTGTATATGTGCAAAGTTTGGTTCGAAAGAGATAATATAGAAGGATAAAATAGAGAAAAAAAATAAAATAGAGATAAAATTTCCTACTCGGAACAGGACCCGGCACGAAGGTGGGCAAAAGACAAGCTGGAAATCGTTTTTGGTGGAAAAAGCAAGGGGAGAAATCGTTTTTGTGGGGGTCCGTAGCGGAGCCCCGGATGAAGATTTCAAGTACAAGCAGAAGAAGGTTGAACCATGCTTATTACCTTATACATCTAATTCATTGGGAAGTAGTTTTCATAAGCCTCAACGCACACCAGAGTTTCGCGCGTGCTACACCGCGACGTCGCTTGCTGCGTGCGCGACGTCGCATAAGCGATGCCGTTGAACAGCATGATTACATGATCAGTTCTCAATGCAGGCGTAACGATAAAGCACCAAATTACGTAAGCAAAGGAAGAGAGGCTAGAAACAGTGTATGAAATATTATGAAAAACTTATGTGCATGTGAGGTGTAATAAGCACAAGCTTTCTTCCACAAGTTTTGCAAAACTGGTAAATAAAGATGTGTATTTAAATGGCTCGTTTGCAGCGCGCAGGTGACCATACGATATGAAATTTGGATACGATACGTGAACACGGATTTGCAAGGCTTAACTTAGAAGTTTCATCAAAAAATTATGTAACTGAAGGTTGTGGCAAGGTTTTTTCTGAAAATTTCCCACCGTTAAGAAAATGGAAAAGTGGCTCGTCTGCAGCGCAGAGAAGACGAAATCGCGCAAGACTTGTTGTGTATACGCGCAGTAGGATTAAGGAACAATGTATGAAGAATTATGAAAAACTTATGTGAATGAAGAGCTTGCTTAACTATTTTCCAAATTAGGTGGGCAATTGCCCGCCTAATGCCCACTAGAAGTAGGCAAAACTTTTAATTCACATAAGTTTTTCAAAACTTTTACATAAATCTGTTGTACACCTAAAGTTTAGTAAATGGTGAGATTTTGGTTCCGAAACTCCTCCTCTTGTCTTTGTTAGAGCCCAAAATCGCATCAGGCAGCCTAAGGCTGCGTTCATACTGATTCCCATGTTCTGAAACTGTTCCCGCACAGTTCTCGCACTGTGCTGAAACTGTGCGGGAACTGTGCGGGAACAGTTCCAGAACTGTGCTGCATGCGCTGCAGCCGCCCCGCACCGTTTTGAACGGCGGGAGTTGGAGAATTTTGACCGTTCTCAACGGTTTTTCTTCCAGATTTCGCTCATTTTGGCCTTAATCCTCCACCCCGCTTCGAGTTCGCAGTTCTGCTGATCAAAAAGGGAAGCGGGGTGGAGGAATAAGGCCGAAATGAGCGAAATTTGGAAGAAAAACCGTTGAGAACGGTCAAAATTCCCCAAATCCCGCCGTTCAAAACGGTGCTGGGCGGCTGCAGCGCATGCAGCACAGTTCTGAAACTGTTCCCGCACATTTCCCGCACAGTTCCCGCACAGTTTCAGCACAGTGCGAGAACTGTGCGGGAACAGTTCCAGAACATGGGAATCAGTATGAACGCAGCCTAATCTAAGATGGAAAGCGCGCCCCAGTCAATCGATGCGAGCGGGAAGGGCGTCTCTCAATCCTATGACTGCGCTACTTTGATATTTCCTCATTCCTTCGTCATTTTTCTTGCTCATTCTTCTTCCTGTTTTCTATCTTGATACAGGTGAGGAGTAATTAGAGGAATTTGAGCATTTTAGTCGCTTTTGAGCGCTTTTAGGCAAAGTTTGGCCGGTGCTTTCGTTGTACAAGCACAAAGCACTGTTTTGGGCTCAAAGGGGTACTCGTAAAAAATACTGGGATCAAAGGGGAATTCGTTTTGGAAAACCCCGTTTGCCCACCTCGTGCCGGGCCCTGACTCGGAACTACGTACACACGTAAAACATACATAAAAACAGACATTCAGCTTTATTTACACAAATAATCATCACCACATATCATTCACGCTGGCTACTTGCATCCCGATACATATCCAACACTCGAGTTTGCTGCCTAGCAGGCCTCTTCTTGCAGCTTCGTTCTCATCTCGAGATCAGGCCATCCTCGAGTTGTGAGTACAAGTCCGACCCGTATGGATGATGCGGCTACGGCGGCACCCAACCAGTATCCGACTGTCGTCCTAGAAATTTTTCAGAAGAATGTAAAAAACGAAACAACCTTTAACTTTCCCAAGATTTTGTGAAGTTTCCTTTGCCCTCAAACCATAACGCAATGAAACGTCGACTAGAAAAAAGGAACCTAAGTTGTGTTTCTTCGGTCTCAAAAACGATACTCCCTTTGCTTTTTGTCCCAAAACCGATACTCAACTTGCTTATAAGCCACCTGTGCCGAGACCTGACCCGGATGCGTCATCAGCTTAGGTGTAGGCTCTTTCCATTCACAAGTTTTCGGCAAGTTCTATCTTATAACCTTGAATGAATGTAATACAGAAAAAAAGGTAATCAAAAATCGACAAACGGTGATTCGAGCACAACATACTACATTCACTTCTTTATTTCTTCATTTCAAAATCTTCTCTCTGGCATAAACTCAACTTCGTCCACACACATGATATGCTTCCACGCTCCATCAATCCAAATTCCAATGGCCTGTGCTTCGTCCAACCTGCTTCTGATGTCATTCCTGTCAAAACTCTATGGCCGAAGTAGATAAGACGAAATCGAAGGGATAGTCGCAGTCATGCGATGAAACGCCGAATTTTCCACATAGGATTTCATCTTCCTCGGGGCCATTCGATGCTGCAGAAACCTTTTGTAACACTGACAGCTTCCGAAACTCCTTCTACAGCCATTCTAATCTTCCTCAAATATCCCTCTTGATGAATAAGCTTGAAAACTACTCCGACGCGCGGCTCACTCCAAACAAATGGCGTAACAAAATGCGAAATGGTCTGCTTGAAGAAAGTAGTCCGTATTTGTCTCCGATGCAGCAGTGCGTGGTAAAGCGGCGAAACATTTTCTTCAGGGGTGCGAAGTGCAGCAAGCGTTGGCAATAAGTCGTAAACCCAAACGAAGTCCTTTACTGAAACAAGGTTCGATTGTATCCGTGCATCCATTCTCGATGCTAGAATCCGTCGAGTAAGATATGAAGCTCAAGTCGATCGGACAAAAAAAGCAAGAAAGTCTTTGTTTCAAAGACAAGGCTGTTCGATGTGATAGCCGCAATCTAATATAGAACTTAAAATTGACCATGTCGCTCAGAGGTAAGAATAGAGATGATCGCTCTTCAGGAGGCTTGAGGTAGAAATTGATCGAAATGTGATTGTTCTTCGGGTAGAAAGCCCAGTTCTCGCCGCAAAGTAGCATCCACTACATATTGCGAATGTTCACAAAAATTGACAGCATCTTCCTAGTTCAGTATTACAATAAAGGGCAGTGTGGAACGCACAATCCGCATGGTTAGAGGCACACGAGGGAACAGCGAACGTATAAATTTAGCAAGCAAGTAACCTAATTTAGGAACATCTTATAGACGTCACAGACAGGTCATTAGCTATCTATGTGGGTGCCATAGAATGACGATGGATTCGACGCCGATTCACAAAATGGGCTTAAGGACGCGGCCGGAGATGATGCAGGAATAATCAGCAGAGTATAGTCAGGAAGCGCCGGATTCTTATGCGGCAAGCCCAAAAAATGACTGTTCACAAAAAAACGTAACCTGCTAAACCTCATCTCTCTATATAATAAAGCGCACGGTGTCTCTCTGTAACATCACTCCCCCCCCCCCCCCTTCGTGAGATGTCAACAGGTTTGTCGTTGCGTGCCGCTGCAGGCGTACAGGGTTGATGATTCATTGATGATTCATCACCTGCGCCACCTAAGGGTAAACAGTCCGGAAAGTTGCCCTTTTGATCGAAAATGAGTTTCCAATAAGTTGAACATGACCTCGCGTGATGATTCCCATCGATGTTTGAGAAGTATGCGCACCAAACCATTGACGACTGGCTTAGCTTACCCTAAGTTCAGTTTATCGTCATCCGTGAGGCGCCGCATACGAGCTTTCACAAAACCTCCATATGCGCAAAGCACTATGTTTTCCAGAACTGTGCGAGAAACTGGGAAAAACATACTGCTCAACCCGCAACCACAGATGGGTATTATAAGCTCTGCATTCGCGAGAACATTCTGCAGCTTTCCAGTGGATTTTGCACAAACTTAGAAAATTTATGAAAATCGTTCAGACTTCATGAGAACTCTGAGTGATGAATAGAGCAGCTCTAGCTTTCGGACCAGTTCTAGCAATAATCACGGCCCACATTTCGCATTCACCCAACCGTTGGCTAAATTTACGTCTGGCAGTGCTCGGGAATAGCGCTGCACTGCATATGCGCTCTTTGAGGGAGCGCAGATGAGGAGAGAGACAAGCTAGAGTAGACGTGACGCAATACCCTCATGACACGGATTCCCTCCCGGACTAATCAAACTGAGACAGACTCTATGATATGACGAACTCGAGTTTAGTCGAAAACGAAATTTTGACCAAGTCATATGCAAAAAAGACTGCAAGTTTCAAAAAATTCTTCAAAAGCGGACTTGGTACGCTGACTACCCTATTTTCCGGAGTATAAGGCGCATTTTTGTGCACCGCGCGCAAGCAGTTTCGCGGGCGATGTGCGACGCCGCAAGGGCAGTTGTACCAACTTTTCGTAACAGTTTTGTGCATTCGTCCTCTGTTAAATCTTTTGTGATCATGAGTTGCTAAAAAATGAGTCTGCTTTTTCTTTGGTTCATCATATTCCGCTAAACAAAAATTTTACCTGAAACACTCGTACCCTTGTCATTTAAAGCTCATCGAATGTCTGTCATTGTCTGTCATCGCCTTATACATGGGTGAGCCTTATACTCCGGAAAATAGGGTGATTATTCAATGCTGAGACCACAGCTCCGTCTTCTATCATGCTTCAAAAACGCCAAGAATTCGTGAGTTGATCGGATTTCGCATAACTTCTCTCAAAAAACAGATACGTTCTCTTCTACGCTGGTTAATAATAATACATCTTCTGAGAATCTTCATATACATCCCACGTCGAAACTTTGGGTTGGTGTGATTAACTTCGCAGAAAGAGATCGGAGTAGATATTCTCCAAATACATTACGTGGTCACACACTTAAGAGGCCAAGTTTAAAGGAATAGTGACGTGATCATAATATCGAGTAAAAGGCTAACATACCCTACTCCAGGAATTCCGCGCCTTTCTCGAAGAAATCGATGCAACACCCACACTTACCAAGCTTTGGAAAACACCAAGCATGAAACACATTTATTTTGCCTACCTCTTGGCACTGTCGCTCAAAGAAAGAAAGAATCAAAAAAATGAGGCTGAGAAACTATCTTCTAAAAGAAAACGTTAAAGGTAGCTTACACCTACTGAGAAGTTCGCAGCCTCCTTTGAAAAAATGATGTGACGCTGACTTGACTAAAAAAATAACCTGAAAGCATACAGAAACTAATTGGCCAACCTCTAGATGTGCCCTCTTCAGGATTGACCTGTTTATGCTTAGCGGTTCTCTAAAATAATGGCTGGAATAGGTCGGGTGTCACTACGGAAGCGGCTTTTTCTACTTGCACCCCAATTTGACCATCGTGTAGTTTCTAAGCTGCTTGTTTAAGTTCTCCTCACCTCAGACATCTGATGGAATGAAACAAAACAATTGTGAAGAGTCAAGAAAGCTGTACCTGTTGGATCTGATAGTGACTATGATATTATATAGGAAAGACTTGAAGAAGAGGAAGGGAACCGCCAGTCTCCCGGTTTGGCACAGCTCATCTGGCGTTGTTGAGCACCGCCCAGTTAAATAACAGAAAAACAAATACCGCACCTTAGAGTTGCTTCAGACTGACTGCACCAAACTGCACCAGACTGCACCTGACCGCAGTGAGCGCTATCGTTACGTCCTTTCGTAAAGATGGAGAGGAAAGATAGTTGTAGCCCAAACAATCAATAACAATATATGCCTAGACACAAAAACATCACAGAGTATTACAAAACAGTTATACACAATTATAGGAGGAGTCAGAACACATATGAGCGTACCAAAGAAAACAATTGCCAAAATTCGAATGAGAAAAGTAATTTAGAACCTATGAACTTTTTAGGCGTACAAGGTGTTGACGTAATCGCAATTATCTTCTCTTTTACGAAGGATGAAGCGATCTGTGCGGTCAGCTGCAGTCTGCTGCAGTCTGCTGCGATCATTACGGCAGTATTAAACAACCCTTAGAGGTTAGCATCTAAAAAGCACCGAAGGCACCTGCAATTGAACATATATGTTTATGAAGAAACTAGCTGTCGTACCCGGCCTTGCCCGGGATAACATCACTTAGGGTTCACTGTCTTTGGATATATGTGACACTCAAAGCAGTAGTGTATCATTTGAGTTTGTTTGCAAAAATAAAAATAAAATGTGTACACTTTTACTTAACAGCATTGTCTCTCTTCTTTTTGAAACATGGAAGACGTGAAAAAACTTGAAGAGCAAGCATTGCGATATAGGTGGAAGAACGTTCGAATAATGTAGCGCCCATTGCTATCCTGAGGATCATTTTTTCTAGTACTTCTCCGCTAATCGGTTATTCTGTTTTAACACCCGCACTCTACCCTCCTCTCCCGTACTACGACAAAAGTAAGTGCTTCTTTGACTGTCTTTGCTTTAGAGAGCGAGTACCTTTATAGCCAAAGCAACAGCCATTCTACCACGTTAAAGATATGTAATCCACAACTTGTGAGCCATTTGGATAACAGATTAATGAAAAAAACTCAAGGACTTCAGTCAATAAACAAAATTATGATGTAAGCTTTCAGATTGAGAGTCACGCTCATGCGGCTGGAATTCATGTCGGAGGTTCCAACGCTAGAGAGTGGCACGCAATTTGAGACACCTTGTAACTTAGCGATTGGCTCACATCTGCATCAAAAAAAGGCTTTGACTTGCGTTAACAACACTACTACCTCGCACCGCAAAAGATGCATCTCGCAGTCTTAGACAGAATATATAGGACCTACATCTGAACGCTTTCGACCTTACTTTGCTGACGAAAGTTCACAATGGATCGTACTGCTCTTGTTTACATAAGTATAGGAATGGTTCGGCAATAGCTGCTGATAAGCTTCATTCCCTTACTGAGAGTGCAACAAATCAATAAATCGATAGAAGGACCCAGCGAATTGTCGAAAAAAGTAGCCTATCTTTTGCGCCGTGGCTTGTTCATAGGGAAACAAAATTCAGCCTCTTTGGTTCACATACAAAGGAGTCTATAAGCCACAAACATCCTAACAAACACGGTACAGTGTTTGAGTTTTATATATATATAGATTTGCCAAAAATTCATACTTTTTTCTTCTCAAAAATCAATATTAGAGATTGGTAAAATGTCACTACGTGACCAGCAGTTGACGAAGGGGCTGGTGCCACTATGTGGCCAGGCCGAAGCATTGTAAGAGCAAGAGTTAAAACGAAGGTAAACGGCAAAGGTAACCATCAAAAAGTGAAGGCGTCTAGGCGTGCGTTCCTACATGGATTTTGCATCATTGTGTTTCGCAAAGAGGCCATTGTTTTTACTACACGATTACGAAATGAACTGAGTAAGTGCACACTTGCGAAATCCACTAATGCACTCCGAGTCGAGTGAAATCGCCTCGCCAAAAAAAAACGAGGGAATGCCTCAAACACAAAGGTAGTTGTAACGAGCATTCACAGCACTATCAACAGCTATGGACATGTAGTAACAATACTATGAGGATTCCAGTTCATTGATGCTGTTTTCAAGTTCATGAGGTGCGATATCAGCCTGATAGCGTGCTATCCTCGACATCTATATGCTACAAACAGCAGAAAATCCATATTATAATGGACTATGCAGTCGAACGCAAAACTGTATCGCAAGATTTCCACAAATTACAATCTTACAAAATTGAATAAATAAGAAATCAAATAGATTTCTCACAAATTTTGACGTCAAAATACAATAGCTGTATATTGACGCTGAAGTTGCAAGAACTTCAATTTTTTAAAATAAAAAATCTTAAAAATTAAAGTCACTTTTGATGAACACAGAAATTAAAATGCGTTTTCCTGGAGCATTTATTAGGAGTGGCTCCTTTCAATTTTGGGTTTTCTTTTGGTTTTGCGTCCCAAATTTTTTTCATTACTAGCTGGCCTACTCGGCTCCACCTAGCCCTGTCAAAACACTAGATAAACGCCTTATCCCTATCCCTGTACAACCTTTCCCTGTTTCTACATGCCAGCTACTTATTCCCTCTCTGTTAGTTATCAGCATGCTCACTTATCCCCCCTGCCAACTGCCAGCCCCGTAGTTCAAACTATGCGAAAGTATTTGTAGTTAGCATGCTCGATTACCCTCCTGTGCCAACTCCCAGCCCCGCAGGTCAAGCTTTACAAAAAAATCGATGAAATCGATTTCGATCGATGACAAAAAGTAGCCTGCGACACCCGCCGAAGTGCATGCGTGCAAAGTTTGGTCCGGATCGATTAAAAATAAAATTTTCTATTGGGAACATGCGTTCATACCACATCATACAGACACAAACAGACAAACACACATTCAGCTTCATATATAACATTTTTTTTCATTTTCTTTAAATACCTGGAGAATTGATGAATGTTCCACGTAATGAGCCTCAGATTCTTGTTGGCAATTGCATAGATAAGAATACGATATTTTGATTTCTTGATCACTACGATGTTCTTTTTTTATCAACATATATGTTTTGCGAAGAAATAATTCGTAAATTCAGGTAATATGCAGAATTAAATCCCTCATCTGTGACATGTACATCAAAAATCCACGATCCTCCGAATGAGGAATTTGAGATTTTTTCCATACAGAACTTTTGCAAGTATTTAATATCACGCCTTGCGACCGGCGAGTTAAAAATTTCTAATAATTTGAATTGAACTTTTTCGCCGAAAGCTTCCTCAACTTCTGTTCGGCCTAAGAATTGCATATCTCCTGTATTCGTAACAAAATATCACTTCCTGTCAAACTTTGAGTCAGTTAATTATTATGCACTTTGACATGTAGCACGCAATCATGCATCTGGTATGAA